TCGATTCAGTTTGATGTTCTAATTGCTGGATTCTGTGCTGCCAGGCGAGACTGATGGGCTCTGTAGTTTCAGGATTTAACACTTGAAGTTTTCTTTCCAACTTTTCGATTTTCCGTTCAAGCTTTGATAGTTTCTCCGAACAGGTTGTGTATTGTTGCGCGACCAAGGCCTCAACAGGGGCAGTTGTAGAAAAATTGTCTTTAATGCGGACTAACTCGTCAATTGAAAGGTCTTTAAACTGCTGCAGATCGGCAACCAACAAAATCAGCGGCTTTACATCTTTTAGGCCATCATTTAAGATTGAAATCTTTTCCGATATGCTCGATGTGAGCGAAGAAAGGTCGTTATGTCCAATTTCGTAACTATGAATAGCAGAGTTTTTTAAAAGCGAGAGAGATGCACTTGAAAGGTCCAATACATCCTTGATTTCATGAGAAATTGGATCCAATATCTTATGAATAGAAGAGTCTTTTGGAATATCCTAAAATTAACAAAATGGTTCATAATACCAGCGACTCCATGCCAAATCTATCATTTTCAGCTCCAAATGATTGAACAGGTCCCGATGTGGTAGGTTCTATTTCAAAAGTGTCTGGTGACATTTTAGCAGCCAGTTTAACCCCTAATCTTTGGTTTAGTTGGCCCTCCCGTAAAGTCTCTTTGATTTCTTCCGGTATACTTTCAGGTTTCTTTGCCTCAAGGGGACTCTCTGGCAAAGACGAAAGTTTTTCATTGGAATCCATGTTGTGAATCGGTAAGGTTCTTAACGGGGTATCAATCATCGGAACGGACAGACCCTCTGGAAAGAGAAATGAATATCCAACAATCCAGCCAATTGAATTCAGCAAGAATAGGAATGGGTGCTTTTTGGGCTTTGCCTCCCCCACTTCATTAGAAGAATTGAAAGAAAAAGTCCAGGGGCAGCAATAACTAACAGAGATACCTGTGCAAAATGTATCATATTCGTCCTCAAGTGGGGATTGCTTCTCATTTGGAAGCATAGGAAGAGTAGCTAAATCTTCGTCTTCACTTGGAATGGAAACAGAAATAGAATTGGTCTGCTTATTGAAATATAAGATACATAAATCAGGTGAACAGCTTGACAGTAAAATTGAAACGGCTAGCCCTTCAAGCCCATTTTCTGTCGCAATAGCAGGTATTGAGACACAATGAAAGTAAGGAGGCTGGCTTTCTGGAATATCCAGAGAAAATGTGGGATCCTCAAAGGGTTTGATGCTATTTTCATTGGTATCAATGACAATCAGCGATCTTTTCTTCGCAACCGTCTCAATGCAAGCAAGAAAATGGCAAGAAGAAAATTTTTCAATTACTTGGAAATATGTTAGCTCAGATGCAAAGGAAGAAAGCTTGGAAACACCCGTAAAGGTTTTCTCCTCAATGTCATATGAAACAAGTGCATTGTCATTGGGAGAAAAGATTAGCATTTTGTTGTCATCCTCAACATACCATCCATCTATAATTTTGGATGTCATTTTGTGCTCAAAAGGTATCGAAATAAGCTCAAGAGTATTGGATTGCTCAAGAAACGACAACATATCAATAGAATGGTCCTCGTAAGAAACGGTGGCAATGCTATTGCAGAGCGAACTTGAAAAGACGCGGAGCTGTTTAATATTTTTGGCCAAACATAGCGTTGCTACACTTTCAGGGTGGCCGGTGTTGGGATCTTTTATAGCATACAAAACAATTTCAGTTCGGCCTGCAACCAATAAAAAGCTCCCGCACTTCCGGTAAACAACATCAATGTATCGAATATCGTCCATTTGGGTAGCTATGGCGTTAGAAGCGACCTCTGAATCTGACATGGCATTTTTTGAGAAAAGACTATACACGGTGGAGCATGGGAGCCAGCGGACCGTTGTGTTGTCTTGACCCTTGAAGAAAAGAAGATTATTGATGCGATCAACGGCCAGAAAGTTGCAAAAAGCCCTTAAAGCAGCCAATGTGGTAGCACCTACCAGCCTGGGAGGGGATGGAATGGCCGGCTGCCGAAATTTGAATGCCTAAACATAACAAAGATGAACACTTGCCCATTCAAACTCGATTGCCATAAAAAAGTTAAAATTACAAACTTTTTTCACTTGCTTTGCTCGTCTGCCTATGTCATCAGCTTTGCAGTGCACTGCTCCCTCCCCTTCACCCCCCAATCCACCTTCAAACCAGTCGATGGAGAGATTAAGGATTTGCATACGGAGATTACCGTCTTCGCTTTCGCACGACGATTTTCTGGCATTCTTGAATCAGACCCTTGATAAGGAGGCCAGTGCAATCCTGAACACCACAGCGATTTCCTATGGCGTTGGAACGCCAAGTAAATCCAAAACTTCAGCTGCCTCTTTTTCATCTGCGGTATTTCTTTCTTTCCAATCTTCGGGCCATCTAAATCGATTCTATTCTCTTGTAAATGGCAAGGCCATAAATAAGGAGGGATGTATCCCCATCATCGAATATGCGCCTATTCAGACCTTTCCTCTGATGCCACCTTCATTGAAGGTGAAGAATGACATCTTGGAGGGCACAGTTGAAGAAGGTATTTTTTATTGTTGTTATGATCCTTGGTGTAGACGAGTATTTCCTTGCTTTTGTTGAAGAGCTTACTCAGAAGCTCCCACCTGGCAAAGACACCGCCTCAATGAGGGCCGAAAAGATGGGCCCAGAAATTTTCCAAAGACCAAGGTCAACGCAAAAGGCATTTAAATTGGATTTGTCGCGTGAAAGCTCGAGCAACGATCCCTCAAAACATGTGGTGCTTCGACGACAGCAGACGGCCACGATCAATGGTGGGCCGATTGCACCCAATGTTGCTTTGCCCAACCCAGAATACACAAAAGCGCCAGAACAAGATGACATTGTTGTGCGGGCCCAGCAAATGGCTGAAGAGGCCAAACTAAAATATTCAGAAGCCTCGACAAATGTTCCCGGCCAGAAGAAGAAATCGGTCTCTCGAAAGCCTGCGCATGCAAATCTGCAAACCCCGGTACGGAAAAAAACCTAAACACGCATTGATTTTACCACAGCACGATCATTGTCTTTTCTTCGACTCGTTGGCGATAAATTGAGCCGGCAACCGTTCTGCACTAATAAAGTCGATGCCTCAGATTCAAATTAAAATTTAAGTGCAAATTTTCTATTTTTTAAATATGCTAAGCGCATTATGTTGGGTCAATAGAGAGTGTGTTCGACCTGTGCCTGTGCGCCTCAAAATCACCGAAGAAGAGGCCAAAAAAATTATTGATGACCATGCCCACTTTGTTTCTCCCAGCTCCGTTGATTTTGTTAGGCATTCTGTTTCTTCATCTGATGATTGCTCAAATTCCGAATCTGAAGCCTGCATTTTAGATAGCATGGAAATGGCCTCCACTAAGGAGCATATTGACATCGACGGCGAAATCGATACGGAAGAATCGATTATTAAAAAATACAACCTGAAGGATTACCCAGAAAGCTCGATGAGCCTTCTCTCTGCAGAAGACGAAAATGTGTCCCCAACAAAGGCAGACTTTGAAAGGATATTTGCTGACATGAACACGCTTTCTCTTCTTTCGCCCAGGGACGATCCATACTTGCTTAAATCTTCCAAAAGCGCCAACCAGGATACCTCTGGGGCCGATGATTTCGATGATTATTTTGACGAGGAAGAGGATATGGATGATCTCACTATTCGCCCGACGGATTATCTTCTAGTCACCGCCAGAGTGCCCGAGGATGATGATATTGCACAGCTGGAGTTTTATGTCTATGAGGAGTCCGAAGATAATCTGTATGTCCACCATGACATTATGCTTCCCACATTCCCGTTATGTCTGGAATGGGCTGATTATGCTACCGGCAGAGACTCCAGTCACGGTATGCATTTTTTAATTAACCGCCATGAAAGGTAATCTTGTTGCGGTTGGCTCTTTTGACCCGACCATTGAAATCTGGGATCTGGATATAATTGATCCTGTCTATCCCTATGTGATGTTGGGAAGTTCTGGCGATAAAGGACCTCATAAAGAGGGATCAAAAAAACTATCCACTAAAAAGAAGGCTTTGGTTGATCCTTGGTTCCATACGGGCTCAATCATGAGCATCAGTTGGAATGCCATAACGAGGTTTGCATTTGCATCGTGACATGTTAGGAACTTGATAGCAAGTGCATCCAGCGACACCACCATCAAACTGTGGGATATCAATGGCCCGGAAAAGGCGATTCGATCTTTCAACCACCATTCTGATAAGGTTCTTATTTTTGCATAACTTCCAGGTATCTTGCGCATCGTTTTCGCCATTTGATGCCCCAATTATAGCAAGCACGTCATTTGATAAGAGCGTAAAAATCGTTGACATGCGGGATCCTTCCTCTTCTTTATCAATTGCTTTGCAAAGCGATGGCGAGGTGGTCAAATGGAACCCATTTGATGCGAATTTATTGGCTGTGGCTGATGAGAATGGAACGGTATATCTGATTGATCGAAGATCTACAGAGCCGCTTAGCACGGTTGAGGCCCATTCCAAACCGATATCGTCGATTGATTATCATCCGCTGATACCAGGCCTTTTACTGACAAGCTCCTTTGATAAGCATTTGAAGATCTGGGACACCCTTGTTGCCTCGACTTTGATTTTCGACCGGAAACTCGGTGCCGGAAACCTGTTGACCGGATCTTTTTGTAAAAACAGCCCGTTTTTGGTGGCTTACACTGGAACAGATTCTCAGGATCCTCATGTTTTAAATCTGAGCAACAGAAAGTCTTACAGATCAGACGTGCAATTTGAAAGCATGCAAGACTTGTTTGAAACGAGACTGCAGTCTATTCGAACGGCAAGCGCCACTTAATTAATTAATTTAAATATTCATGAACCTGTAAATTTTACTCGCCTAATCAATCATACGATGATTAACTCTGGTGAGCTGGAGCAAGCAATCCATAGAGACATTGGAAAGAGGGGACTCGAAACCTTGTTTCCAATCGTTTGCGGGTCTTTACAGAGAAGCGCTAGCTTGATTCAACGTTGTAATTCGATTGCCATTTTGACCGGATTTAACATACCACCCCAAGAAACAGATGGTCCTCCGGGGGCAATTGCCCTGGCAAGGGCTCTTTCTTTTCTTGGTAAAAGGGCGATTTTCGTAGCTGATGACTACTGTCATGATGTGTTGGCAGCTGGAATAAAAGCCTCTGATCAATGCTATTTAAACTCGGCATCCTTTCCCATTGAAGTTTTCCACAAAGAAGTCAACGATCCTGAAAAAGCCCGCATGAAAAGCGAAGCCCTGTGCAGAAAATACAATGTCGATTGTATGATTTCAATAGAACACGTGGGTCCCTCTTATTCTGATGGGCGATTATATAGAATGAACGGACTTGACACAACAGCAAATGAAGGTTATTCTTATGTTTTCTTCGAGACACTTGACAAGATCAATATCCCGAAAGTGGCCATAGCAGACGGTGGGAATGAGCTTGGATGTGCCAAGATTCTGGACTCCCTTCTTGATAGCTCAATATGCAAGATTCCGAATATTGATAAAATAGCATGTAGAACCTCGTGTGACGAGCTGATCCTTGCAGGTGTTTCCAATTGGGGAGGATATGCCCTTTCATTACTTATATCGCAAACAAAAGAGATCCTCTGCGTCGACGCAGAGCGAAGCATCCTAAAAGCAATCGTTGATGCAGGCGCGGTTGATCCAAGAAATGGCTCTGCAATGTTTGTTGATGGATTGGCTTTTGATCCAATCCATGCAGATGTGATCGCTGCACTTTTGAAATGAAGTTACAGAATTAAAAATCGGAATTGCAAAGTAAAATCAAATGGAATAAATAAATAAAATCAATAAAATTAAATAAATAAAAATTGGGCTTTATTAAAATTCGGTCCACAATGAAATTCTCTTCAAGGCTGTATATAATGATGTTTCCCATCTATGATAGCTGGATATCTCCGCTATTAAAAGACGATACAACAAGAGGTTTATTTTGGTTCGCCTGCATAAACATGGTATTTACCTTTTTTGAGGTGGTTACCGGCTGGTCTTGTGGCTCGTTATCGCTACTAGGTGATGGCCTTCATATGTTGCTGGATGCAGTTGTTCTGTTTGCAAATTTATTTGTCGTGATTTTATCGAAATGGCCACCAACGGTGGTGTTTCCATTTGGCTTTTCAAGGACCGAGACAGTCGCCGGGTTTGTTAATGCCCTTATCCTTATTTTCATTTCCTTTTCTGTCGCGGTGGAGGCGCTAAATAGATTCAGCAAGCCACCTGTGATCCAAACGACCACAGTAATGATTGTCTCTTTTCTTGGGCTTGTGGTAAACCTTATCGGATTGTATGCTTTCAACAATTCGCCTTTGATGCATCACCATCATCATCAGGCTCGCCCTCGCCCTCAGCTTCGTGACCACAATGATAATCTTCATGCTTGCAGCCAACCAGAAAATGGGCATTTTCATAACCATATTTCGGCCCTTTCCAATTCCTCCCTTGCTGTGCGATGTAAACCAGCGCTATTTTCTGCAGACAAAAAACGGAAATCGCAAGATTTGGAGTCTGGAAAAACATCCAATGCACACACGCTCTCTTATAACATGATATTCCAAGGAATGTTTCTGCATGTGCTTGCCGATACTTTGGGATCTATCGTGGTTCTTTTGTCTACTTGGCTAATTAAGAACACCGGCTACTATTGGATCGACCCGATCTCATCATTTATTCTTTCCATCTTGATTATCGTTGCCACATGGCCTCTTTTAAAGTCTTCGTTTTACATTTTGATGCAGGCCTCTCAATTCCCGTCTTCGGAAGCAAAGCACAAAATTCTTGCTGACATAAGTTCGCATGCAGAGGTATCATCGGTGTATTCTTTAAAAATTTGGCAGCTCAAAGAAAACCAATACATTGCCTCAGTGGCCCTCACACTTTCCGAGTTTTCTATAGACGCATACTCACGGATTCACGAAAAGATAAAACAATGTCTCAAGGAATATGAAATCGACCAGTTTACCATTGAGCTTGGGAATCATCAAATCAAATCTTGACCAAAAACCAGGGTATGTATGTAAAGGAAATAAACATCCTGTAATGTCGTGGTTAGAACAACGATGAAAATCGATAGTTGCGATAAAATTCACGTAGATTTGGATCTGTTAGGGCAGGCACTATTTTAAGCGCACAGGCAAAATGCTCTCGGGTTATCTGAACAAATAAAGACCAAAAATTGCACCTTTTTGCAGAAAATATCGCTCTCCAAGCCAACGATCCCGGCGCGTTGGCAAAGCGCAACCAGCTCAGCTGCAGAATACCCGTCAGTAGCGTCTGCAAGCTCGGTGCATATTTTTTCATCCTCAAAAGGCATTCTTTTGGCTTGTATTTGGAGAATTAGAACCCGCTCCTCAAAATCAGGCAGATCCACAAATATATGCCTATCGATTCTTCCAGGACGAACAAGAGCAGGATCCTAGCGTAAGCAAAGTTCTCAACAGTACCAAAATATCTGGCCGATTCGTGGCAGCCACAAAGACCACGTTCAACAGCGGATCAAATCCATCAAGCTCAATCAGCAGTTGAGTCAACAGCCTATCCCCGGTACCGGATGACGAGGAAGAGCCATCAACTCCCCTTCTTCCGCCAATCGCGTCGATTTCATCCTACAGTTCGATTATTTTGGTGACACGTACGAAAAATAAAATTGTCGGTGCATGTTCCCTTGCGATTTTAAAAACTCGCTTCAGGGCCTTTTCAGACTCTCCAACCCATTTGTTCAATAACTAGATTCAGGATTGGAGAACGACTATACCTGGGGGCCTTTGATTGCAATAAAATTGAATTTACATTCAGTGGCAAGTGCCTTTGCAAGGAGGGTTTTGCTATTCCCAGGCGGGCCATACAGTAAAATGCCTTTAGGCGGTCGAAGGTTAAATCGAGTGAATCGCTCGGGAAACTTGAAGGATCAAAATGAAAATTTAATACCTTCATTGGCCATTCCACGGCCTCCTTTAAAAGCTGCTTCACATGTTCCTTTCCGCCAATGTCATCCCAGGAAACTTTTGGCATAAATATAGCCCACTAGGAAGTAAAATACAAAGCCTCAAACCTCATGACTTAAAGAAGGAGGAATATGTCGAAGAGCTTCATCGATTTTAGAAAGATCGCAACAGGCATCAATAGATAGCGATGAGAACTCTTCGGCCAAAGTTCCATTTGAAAGTCCCTGGCCACAATAAGAGCCAAATGCAAGCTCAATCACTTTACACAGGTCTTTGTATAAATACCCGTGAGTTTTACCGGCAAGGTATTTGCAAACGATTTCTTTTTTTCGGGGAGCGAGTAGATTTTCACAAATCGACAGCCTTTGAGAATATGTTGCCAATTGGCAGCATGAAAGAGTATCGACCACTGTACCGTCTCTGGTAAGGATATCGAAATCAGAGAATCCGCCAATAAACAAAAGAATAGCGCCTGGAATCTTTTGGATTTTTTCAACAAATTTCTCTCGGAAGCAAACCAAAATATTTGAGTTTACTTTTGGCGAAAAATTCACCATCTTAACAATTGATGGTGTGTTTGCTATCACTTGCTTCAGAACGGACTCCAAAGATTTGTTCACATCGTCGAGCTCTTCCAAAGCGGTCCAGCTTGTGCAATTAACGGACACAACAAAAGGAATTGGAAGTTCCTTCACAAGGTTTCGCAACAGTAAACGTTTACCAGATCCAGGATGGCCCTCGATGCAAAAAACCTTGGTTTTCAGCCCTATTGGATTATCTGCAAATAGAGCCAGTTTGATAGAGTTGAGAAAAGCAGCAAACGAATCCCTGGATACTCCAGAAGCAATGCAAGCATCGCCTTTTGCGTACGGTAAATTTTGCAAATTAGGCTCTTGCTCAAAAATGACCACGGATTTTGGAAATGAATAAAAGAACAAGCCGTTGGTATTAATAAATTCAAGCAGCATAACCAGTTCTTTCTGCAAGTCTTTTGAGTAGTTGCAGTGCGATGCTGTTAAAGCCATGCAGTTAGGGAGGATAGAAAGCACTTCCACTTGATAAGTCTTCAAATGATGCGAGATTTCAAGAATTTCTCCTTTAAAAACAGGCGGAGCATCCCTTGAAATTAAAAGCGATCTTATTTTTTCCAACAAAACCTCCTGGAATCGGTCAGCAATTACAAGATCAGGAAGATACATTGTCGCGGGACGAGGGGTAGATATCAATATCCTAGAGAAATAAGAGGGGACCGATTTCCAAAGAAATGAAGGGAAGATCGCGGCACAATATTTTGCAGTGCGAAGCACGTCTTTTTCAATGGCACTTGAAGGCCCCAATTCGAGCTTTCCATCGCTCAAAAAGACACTGGCCGGTCTACAATTAAGCAGGTACAATTTTTCTTCGTTAGCATCTATAGACGTTTCGCCGCCATAATAGTTTAGCTTTGCGATGCAAAAGAAGCGCGGGATTGCGGAATCAGCTGCGAAAAAGAACAATCCCGCATATTCATTCCTTTTCAGCTTAAAAAGAGAAAAATATTTCAAAGGAACATGGGCAGAGCAGAAGTGATCTGCCTGCACATCGAGCCCCAACAGAGATGGAGGCAGCGAATTGAGATCTAAACACTGAACTTGGGGCCTATACTTCAAAATAGACGAACAAGACAAAGGAGATAACATGGGCATTGTGATTGCTTAATAAAATAGTTTTATTTTTAATTAATTTTTGAAATCAATAGAGAAAGATAGGACGCGTCCGTTGATTTTGACGATTCAGGCAAGTTGCGGCTTGTAATGATGTTGGACTTGAATTTTTTAAACATGTCCTCCTTTTGCAAAAGGGTTTCGAAATAGACGCTTTTTGAGGCTTCAGCACGACGCTCCTTTGACGAGGCTGTGCCACCTGCGTCTGATGAGTCGGAGTGGTCGATGTCCTGCAACCAGACATAGGCTTCCTTATCTTCCGGGGCCAAAGTAATATCAGCGGGCGAGAAAACAAATCTTGGCCCAGCCTTAACAAGGTCATCATTTTCCTCCTCATCATCACCATTTAACAGTAGTTTGGTGTAGAATACGATTGGTTCGTTATGCCCTTCCCTAATAGCAAGGTCAAAATGAGTGGTCGGGATATCCTTGATTGGTGACTCTGTCGCGGAGTCGGTTGAGGCGATCGATTGACGCTGCGATTTTCCGAGAATAGATCCTTGGCCTCGTGCTTTGACATAGAACTCTTTAGCTTGATCGGAAACGTTCTTGCCAAAGACAAGTCCCTTGAGTTGGATGTTGACTTTGGAAATCACTGGATTATCAGCAAAAGCCACTTGGTTAGTGGTGGCCGGTGCATCTGAACTGTGCTTCCCATGCCGCGAAAATAGACCAAGGCCTTTTTTAGCCAAGAATTTTCCCCCAGCCATAGGGGCAAACGCAACGGTAGCAGTGGCGCCCACAAAAACGCTTCCGACACCCTTGAAGAACCCTTTGGTGGATGTCATCAGGCCACCAGAGGAATCAAGATGCTCTGTTAGCCCTTTAAACTCGGCAGCATTTTCAACAAACGCCACGTGAAGGAATATTGTGCCAGAGGTTGTATCGCCCAGGGTTGCCGTAAAATCAGCAAGCATTGAATCTGAAACAGCGTCGGGAGCAATGTCACGATAAATTGCCTGTGCATTTCCCGATGGCTGATTCTTCTTGAACGTGCTCTCAAAAATCATTTGTAACAATGGCATAGAAATGGTGCCAAGATGAACAATCGAATCAACTCGATTCCAATCGAAAACTTCAAAGCCAAGGATGGAATATCTTAATGACCGAACTGGAAGGACAAATCGTTCGTTCCATTCTGGATTTAGGCTCTTTTTTATCACTGAAGTCTTTCCCAACTCGATGCCATTGAGCTTGATAAGCGAGAATGGATCGGAGGTTCCCCCGGAATCGACGGCTTTAAGATTGGCAGCCGATTGTATTCTCAACACAATATAGCCGGGAACCTCTTCTGAAGATACGAAGGACAAAAGCTCATTGAGTAGTTCGGTGGTACTTGCATTTTTGCAATAGTCGATATCCAAAGGCCTATAGTTAATTTCCAAACAAATTCCAGGCACCGAAGATGAGGGGTCGAAAAAGTTGGGATCAAAGGTCGAAAAAGGCCAAACTTCACCGATTTCCGTTGTGACGCCTGCAGAGTTATCTTTCTTTGCGGGGGCAGCAGAATTTTGCTTGGAAATGATATCGACAATAGGTATGCGAACACTGCCAAGATCTGGTCGACTTGTGTATTTTTTGGCCTTCTTGGACACGCAATTGAGAGACAAAGAAAGCGCAGAGTTTTGAGAGTCAACAACAATCCATTCAAAGGACTCTTTCCATTCAAGCTGCTTAGATGATGATGAAAGCTTTTTGGCTCCCGAAGAAATAAGCTCCTCAATGACACTTTCGGATGCTGCACTGCCACCAACGAGTTTCATTACGTTAACAAGAGTAGATGGTCTGATCGGATCTCCAGAATCAACAAATCCGGAGGTTCTCAATATTTTGACCCGCAAAATTCCAACAGAATGAGTCGGCATGATCGGTAACTCTGGGCGAAGCACGGGCCAGTAGGCCAATTCAATACGAAGTCGACAGTAGTCTGCGGATTCCAGCGTCTTCAAAGTGAGCCAATGGTTTAAATACACAGCTGGATCGTTCATAACGTCTTCAATTTTCAGGCTACAAGACGCCAAAAGCAGGTCACCGCTCTTTGAACCACCGTCACTTCTTCCCTTTGCAGCGGATAAAAAGGCTTTTGATCCGGATTCAAAAAGCTCAAATGTGAAGGTGCCATCCATGTTCTTTATAAAGGCCCACGCACCATCTAGCCAAATCAGCCGAGGTGGTGCTCCACCGGTGTCACTTAGTGAAATGGATCGGGTTGAAATAAGAGGCTCTGTGCCCCCAGAAGAGCCCTTGGGGCCTCCAAGGAATGCCTTAACGTAAAAGTTGCTTCCAATGCTGTTGGCCGCTGAAAATCCATCTGCTTCAAGAACAGTCAAATGTGCAAGTCCAACGGAAGGAGTACGAGAAAGCGATCCAGATTCGCCACCAACCGCCTCCAATTCCAACGATTCTGCATCTTCAAGAGACGTTATCGGATCCCAGGTATAGGTAATTCGGACCTTTCCACTGGAACTTTTGTTAAGCTGGAACCAGTCATCATCGAGCGTAGTATCTGTTTGAAGAAGAGTATCGGAAAGAGGAAGGACAAGTTCACCAACCAAGGAGGGGCCAGAAAAGTCGCGTTCTTCTCTGATTTGGATCCACAAAGAAGACAAAGAGGCGTCTTTAACGAAGGTTTTAATTTTCTGAGACCAGATTGGCGAGTTGGTCTTCTTTTTTGTGCGAGTACGAAAATAGGCTGAAGACGGAATATTGGCAAATGAATCCAACTTCAGCTTGCTACTGTGATCCTCAGAAGTTTCAAACAAATGCGATGGAACAATTGCGCCCTCGGCATACAAATTCATTGCCTTTGCGTGGGTAGATTTTTTTGGTGTCAACTCGATGGCCTGATGAAATGCAATATCAATGATTCCTGCGCCCTCGGTGTGCTCAACAAGATCTTTTTCCTCTGGAGAGATCCAGCTAACAGTAGGAAAGAAAGCTACCGAATACTTGAGCTCTCCCTTTACCAATGACGGTTTATCAGGAGCAAGGGAAAAATAGGGTGCCCATCCGGTAAAATAAAAGCTTTCCACATTTTTTCCCTTTTCTTTTTTCTCTTTAAAATCGTTCAAAATGGCTTGGATATCAAGTTTGAGCTCGCCAAGGGGAACCTCTTTGGAAACTAAAGAGGAAGCGTGGATCACTCGAAAGCTAACTTGAGACTTATCATTGGGAAGCAGAATCCAAAATGTTTCACCCCAAAGCGGATCTTGCTGGTCAACAAGCTCTTTGGTATGGGCAGTTTCAATGCCATTGACAATGATTCTGACAAAAGGATCGACTGTGCCCATGTATTCATTTGTCTTGGGGATTTTAGCACCAATAATTCCGATACAAAGAACCCCAACCGGCTTTTGGCTTGAAATTATGGCACCATTAACGATTTCATCAACATTGAGGGTAATGCAATTTGGAGTCACCGCTAGCTCGGAAGAAACAGAGTCGATCATTGAGTTGATAAACGAATGAAGCCCCGGAAGGTCCATGATATCAAGGCTTTTCAAAGGCTTAAGCACGAAATCTACCTTTGGAGGGCTCATCAAAGAAATTTGGGCAATTTTAACGACCGGAGGAGCAGGCATCAGCTTGAGTTGAATCCTTGCATGCACCTCGACACTAATGTTTTCCACTAGAATTGGAACATCAACACCAACTAAGGAAGAGCCGAAACGGGCTGCAAGGACGATTTGAGACGACCATTTCCGATGGGCAACGCCCCGTCTCAAAGGATACATCACGTCCTCTGTGGAGCGGCGAGGTACAAATGCCAGTCGTATTTCGAAATGAATGACATCGTCGGGCGTATCCGGGTACCGCCGAAACCCAAGGATTACAGGAGGCTCACTTCCCAGAGTAAAGGTGGTGAGTTTAAGTGCACTCAAAAAGGAAGGACAGGCATCTTCAAGAGCCTCATTGACAGTATCGATCAAGGTTGCAGAAAGAACGGGCTCGTATACTCCCCAAATTCGGCCTACAATGTAATTGATCCATTCCGCAGACTCCTCATGTGAGGAAATCGAATTTTTGGCTGCTTCTCTGCGTAACGCAAACAGTTCAAGTTCAGCAAATCGGTTGACACGCCTTTTATACAGTACAACCATCGATGAAAGTGTACCTACAAGCCACAGGAAATGGAAGTTATAATGTCCCAATAGCCAAGTGACGATCAAGTAAAAGATCAGCAAGCATGGGATTTCAAATTTGTCGATCATTGTGGGCATACTTTTTGCAGCATGGCCACTTTTTTGAACAGCCTTATTTGCCTGAATGGCAAGTGGGTTTATTGGTGGCGCATTAATTAGCTCCTCAAGCTCCTCCACCTTTTTGTCCCGAATTTTTTTCTCTTCTGGGGTGAGATTTTTCTGTAGAAATTGTTTCTTTTCCTCTTTTGGGATGTGCAGCATAAAACAGAATAAGCTTTTGAGATCACTTTATCTATCATCATTTATTTATAGCCAAGGCACATGATTGGATTTTCATTGTAACCAATGGACTTTTGAAACTTTATTTAAAATTAATTTAAAACCAGGCCCAATTCCATTTCAAATTAATTTAAAATTTAATCTCAGCAAAGATATACTTTGTTCGATGAGCGAGGAACCCGAACATGAGATTGGACCAATGCCTAAAAATGCACAGGAAGAGCACAAAATCAGAAAAATACCGGGCAAAAACAGCACAGAGCCATTAGCAAGCACAGAGCCATTAGCAAACACAGGACCATTAGCAAACACAGGGCCATTAGCAAACACAGGGCCATTAGCAAACACTCCGCATGCATCTTCTTCACAACAGGGATCCCTTGAGACGCAGCAAAATCCCAAAAAACCGAAGTCATCTGCAGCCTTGTCACCAGCCATAAAATTTGACTTGGAACAACTGCCGAATTCGAAAAGATATGAAAAGAGCTATCTTCACAGGGATAACGTTACGTTGGTTCTAATTACCCCGTACTATGCTTGCTGTTCTAACTTTTAGTGAGACCGATTTTCTCATTACGGCATCTATTGATGGGATTGTTAAATTCTGGGTCAAGGCAGAAAAGGGGATTGAATTTGTAAAAGCATTTAAATCTCACGCCGGCCCCGTGGGAAGACTCGCAACCACCAAAGACGGGCTTTACTTGGCCACAATTGCAGTTCCTTCGGCAAAGGATGGCACCCTTAAATTGTATGATGTTGTAAATTTCGACATGTACCAAAGTGTCCCGGTCTCGTTTACGCCCCTCGCGTTAGCCTGGTGTTCTTTCAAGGCGTTTCTTTCGGCAAATATTATTTTATCTTCCGCTGAAAATACAAATGTATTTGTCATTGATTCAAAGTCAGGTAGCCTGCTTCATACGATTTGTCTTGGCTCGTTGCATTGTTCCCCAATTGAACTCCTGGAATTCAATCCCAAATTTGATGCTATGCTGTCTTCAGATATTAAACACGGTGTCTCCTTCTGGGGAATCGATTTAAATTACAACCCAGCCATATCGGCCAACTCGCTTTTTGCTACCAAATCCCAAACGGACTTTGGAGTTTTTGACAAAAAGCAAAGCCATATTTTGTCGATTACGTTTTCGCCGGACTATGGCAGGTTTGTTATCATGGATTCAAAGAGACAAATCCGTATCTTTTGTAGCAAGTCTTGTCGGATTACCCATCAATTCGACGAGAGCTTAGAAAGTGCCTCTCGCCTACGCGACCTAGCATTCAAAAGGAAGGATAACCCTAACCCCCAAATACTCCCCTATCTAGTGGAACAGTCTGATTTTGATAAACGTCTTTGTTTGGAAAAGGACATCGATGGCCAAGTTGGATTGGCACTGGCCATACAAGACCACTCCACGCTGAATTCTCTTCGTCGAAATTGCGTTTTCAATGCAACAGGCACTCTTCTTCTATTTCCGACTCTGTTTGGAATTAAAGTTGTGCATTTGGAATCCTCCTCCCTATTGTCCGTAATCGGTATGGAAGATGCAGGTGCTTGTCGCTATTCATGTGTGGCCCTTTTCCAAGGCACTTGCTCCAAATATTCGAATACAAATTCCATCAAAAAGGCACTTCCAAGCACGGACATGTTGGCATCCGATAACCCTGTTTTGAAGGACATGTTTTTGCCTCCCGATCCTGTTTTATTTGCAACGATGTATAGAAAATCAAGATTTGTCTTGCTTTCAACAAGGCCGCCAGTGAAGCTGTAATGTGTCGCCCATGTAATTTTCCATGTAGATCCGAGCGAGATGTTATGAATGAAAAGGCCATCCGGGATGAGCATAAGGTAGAGGTGAAAGCACTTCCATATGAGGAGGATCCATCTCTCCTTGCAACGGCAAAGGGGAGAAAAATCGCTCTCATATACACCAACCTTGGCGAATTTCAGTTTGAGCTTTTCCAGGCTGAGGCGCCAAAGGCTGTCGAAAATTTCATTTACCTTTCCAGGCGAGGGTATTATGACAATGTGATATTCCATCGCATCATTAACGGGTTTATGATCCAAACAGGCGACCCAGCAGGTTGTTTCCCCTACACCACTCATGCCTAGGTGATGGAACCGGAGGGGCATCCAAATGGAACCGAAATTTCGAAGATGAAATTGTGCCCGCTTTGAGGCACGATAAACCCTACACCGTTAGCATGGCCAATTCGGGGCCCAATTCCAACGGTAGGCCATTTCATTTGATTTGATCCCTTGTTTAGGGTCCCAATTTTTTGTGACAACCATTGCTTGTCCTTGGCTGGACGGCAAGCACACCATATTTGGGCGATGCATTTCCGGAATGGACACCATTCATAAGATTGAGAAAACCCCTGTAAACAAGTATGACCGACCAACGAAAGAGGTGCATATCATCGGCATCGACATCAAGACAGACGCCGGCCATCGAGAATAAATATTTATTGGCGTTTATATTTCGTCGTCAGAGTCTCGGTCAGAGCGGTCGTGGTTGTTCGATCTATGGTTGTTGTTTGGGGAGACCTTTTTAAAAATGCCTTGGATTGAGCGAATTCAGCGATACCTGAAAGGGAAATCCTTTTCTCCAACTGGCCGGTGGTAAATGCGGTTGTTCCGCCCAGTTCATCGAATCCGATGATCCTACCCGTGTCAATGGTGCAGAAATAGAATACCTGTCCGTCCGAATACCGTTTAAAAATACATCCAGACATGGAAGCACCTTGATTGCTAGCTTTTGCGTCAGAAAGGGCGCATCCAGCACATCCATACGAGCCCATCGGATCATTGGATGAAGAGCCGCTAGTTTCTTTCAAAACAATTGATGCCAAATCGAATACCTTCAAATGGCAGTCTAAAACTTCACAGGTTTTGAATGAAGGCAGAAAAAAGTGGATGATAACCAGGGGCTCCTTTGTGGTCCACTCGAAAACCTCGGCCTCGTTTTGAGCAGAATGCAAATATCCGTAATGAGGCATGCTGCTGTCTTTCACTGGCTTGAGGACAGATTGCTGAAGCTCCTTCAGCCTTCGAAGGCGGTATTCACAAAAGAAAGAATCGTTTTCAGCAGAAAGGTTTTCCAGCTCCAAATCCAAACAGCACTCATCGCTATCAGAACGCGTCATTGGGCAAATTAAAGATTAAATTTTATTTAATGTACGAGGCTCCGCGTAACTACTGAAAAATTGTGGAAAGGCCCAGTGGTTCGTTTAAATCGCTCAGCGAAGTACTGGAGGATGGAGCGGTGGAGCTCAAGCCTGACCCGGCGTACAACAAATGCGGTCTCTTATTTCTGGGTGCTTGAGCAAGATATGGGAGCGAACTTCCAAGAGCCTTTATTGTGGAGGCGTCGTCATCAAGTTTGTAAAGACTGCTAGCTTTTACGCCAGTGATTGGCTTGAGAAAGTTTTTCAAAAGACTTTTTTTCTTCTTTAAATCATCTGTCAGGTAGAATTCGTTGATAAAACAAGTGAAAGCTTCAGAAACGACCCCGCCAAATAGTTGCTTCAAGAGCACGTCCTCAAATTGAGGCTTGCAATTGGTTGCCAAAGCGACAATTAAAGAAATGTTGGATTCGTGGTTTTCCGCGTGATAACCTTCATTCAAAAGCCGTAATGTTTCCAATAACATTTCGTTGCCTAGGAATTCGGAGAATTCCGAATATCCAGCAAGCATCGCCACGATACGTTGGCTGATATTGATAGCCTTGTCACATGAGACGGAATCCTTCCACCTCATCATCAAAAGCAGAGATCGAAGCATTGGAGAATAAATATCCTATGGTAAGTAATTCTATCACACAGGATACCTTGTTTTGGAAAATAAATTGCAGCAAAGGCGTTGCATTTTCTAGGGAATGCGTTTTCGAAACCAAAGATTGGCGCTCCGAAATGGGGACAAAAATATTGAACAAATAAGTGGAAAACGAATGACTGGCTTGGCGAAGCAACCGCTCAAACAGCAAATTTTCCGATATCGAGGCATCGTCTGTTTCAACATCGCTTACCAACAAAAGCTCTATGGATGACGAAGAAAGCTTCCCATAAACGTCCCATTGAGAGGAGAGAAATTCCCCAACATAAGAGGCCAATTGAGGTACCCAAGACGCTAGAAAAGCCCTGTATTCGCTTTCTGGGCAATTGATGGTGCAAGGCTCGGCCACAAGTAAAAGAAAGTACTTTATAAATCTCAGCTGCATCGACGAAAAGTCTTGGAATAAAGAGGACACGAAAAGGGAGATCGGTATTTTCTGATAAAATAGCGCCCCATACTGGGATGCCGTGCCGATGATGGAATACGAGCATTGTCGGATATTATTCAGCCAAATACGAATGGAAGTTTCAAGTGCTTCCAGGGGCATAATTTCATCTTCGCTTCGGGAGTATTTTGAGCCAGAAAGAAACACCCTCTTCTCCTCCTTTGATAAGTCGAGAAGAACATTTAAGCGGGAACGTTTTTCGATATGTATTGATCTCCAAACATCTGCATTCCAGATGGAATGCAAATAGCCGATGACTTTCAGAACTCTGGGAATGATAAGTTCGACAAGAATTGTCGAAGCTTGCAACGTTTGAGGAGCAATATGAATCAAAGCAGACGAAGAAGGTACCAAAGAAGACGGCAAAAGCCTTTTTAGAACCACCAAAGAAACGTTGCATAAGTATAAAAGAGAATTCCTGGAACTCTCCGAATACTCCAATCTGCCCTTTAAAGAGGACGGGTTATTGACGATCTCATCCAACAAAAAAGTGGTTAGGCCGCATGACTCCACGAACGCCTCGAAATTTTCCAAAAGATGCCCAACAACCGCATTGTTGCTCCATTCTTGAATGATCGGCAAAAAGACAAATTCGTAGCACTTTTCTCTATCGATGTCCGTTCCGGCTTCCTGAACGATGATAAGAAGGAATTCGATCAACGAAGCCTTTTCAGACAATCCCAGTGGGCTATCTGAAGCAAGAAGAGTCTGGATTTGCCGCGAAATCGTGCCAAAATACCGTATCAGTTGAGACGAAAATCCAACGGCAAGCTTAACCAGCCCCGTTGCTGCCCGGCGTTTGAGATTGATAATTGAATCCCGATCGCCAGAAACAGTTAACGAGATCAAAGGAACAAGATAGTTATATACAGTGATGATGTTTTCCAGGTTACATTTTAAGAACAGGCAGCAAGAAACAATGGCCTCGACAACCTTTGTCAGACACAGCGGATCGGGCCGATTGAACGAAAGCAAAATGGACAATACAGAGTGGAATTTTGAAACCAGAGACGCCCTGACGCCGCCCTCAGAGGGCTCCTTGAAACAGCCATTGATGTCCCCAATTGACATCAAAATGGCATCCATCACACTTACGATGGACTCTAAATTCATGTAGTATTTTGATGAAAATGAGCAAACACGATTTCCCTGTTTTCCCTCGCCAATGAGGGCATCGTAGTTTAGCTGAGAAAAATTTTCCACTGCAGAAACGACTAGCAACAACATATCCAAAGGCTACCCCATTAGCAATTCAAAAAACCTGCCTTTACTCGGGAAATGCCTCTGATCACATCAAGATACCTACTCTTGGCGCATGAAAGGAAGATTGCGTATTCCTCTTGATTGTCAAAATCTAGCTCATAAAATCTCTTTTGGTTTGAGTTCTTAAATGAATGCATTTCTGCAGATTGAAGCACTTTGTTCGTGATAACATCTATAAGCTGTGCAATGTTAGAGAAAAAGGTATTGTTTTTGTATAGTTTCTCGTGTTTAAACGCGTTCAGCCAAAAAGAAATCGTCATCGATGAAATATAATCGCTATCACTTCCCAGTAGCATTAAAACGATTTTCAAATACTCCAAAAAGGTCCTTTCATCGGCCAAAATGGATTTCTTCCCGCAAAGCTGATGGGTTCCAAACTCGCAAACGAATTCTGAAATACACTTCACCAACTCATAGTTAGTTCCGGAAAATGGATCTCCCAATAAAGAGGCGGTAAATGAGAGAAAGTCTGCAAATCGGTCCATGATAGGTCTCCATATTGATATCTGTTCTTCAACTTGTCCAGGGGATTTTTTCACAAGCACATTAAGAACCTCAACAACTCCCATAAATATCTTTTCATCATTAGATAGCCACATGGACAAGTACTGTGTAAAAGATGTCTGGACCACTAAAGACAGCGGGATAAATTCGGCAAATGCCGTGCACAGCTTAAGGCCTGTAATGAAAAGAGCCTTGGGCGCTGATGAAGAGGAGCCCGAAGAAAGCGCGCCAGTAGACTCCCCTTTGGATTCCATTAATTGACCGTATTTGGAGATGATGAAATTTACGAATGATGGCCAAAAAACGCGAGACTGGTTGACAATGGCTGACTTCAAATCAAATTTTCTGCAGTCAGACATGTGCGGATCAACAAAAATAAAAACTTCCTCGATCAAGTGCGTTATTATCAGCAGTGACAGCTCCATGTGAATGTACTTGAAAGTTAAAAAAGCATACCAACCTGAGCAGAACTCATCAACGACTCCAGCATTGGCCAAAGCTCCGGCCAATTTTGTGGCCACATTCTGACAGCCACAGAAACGGCAATTTTCGATATTTTTTCCTTAATAGGATATGGTTCTTCTCCGAAGCCGCCCTTCATTTGTGATAAAAGAAGTGTAACAATTTGGTCTCGTAGCGCGAGCTGTTGCGTAAAATTCCAGTTGTTCCATTGCGTATTGAGAAAGTGCTCAATTACATGGCAACCAAAGAGCCTTAGATTTAGCGGAAGGTCATTTTTGCAAGATATCAATTGAATGCTAACGGAGAGAGCCTGGTCAGATTCTTTGAGCGACTGCAAGAACTATCGTGGAATGAACATCATAACACTCACCGACTCTGAGCGTTTCCTATCTACAATTGTTGCCTTTGGATCCAAGATTATATCAAGAGCCTTATTTATTGGAGAAACTACAAATAAGAATAAATTGCCAACCTTGGGATAAGGCGACATCCATGCCAAAAATTAAAAAGTTAAAATTTAAACGACTTTTATGGCTATTTGTCGCCATTTATGGGAATTTACGTGAGATGGCGAGCATGTGGGCTCAAATGCATTGTAAGGACGGGGCTAAATGTTGACAATAAACTTGATTTCTGAATGCGCCGCATTAGGAGTCTCTTGCAATATATTTTGATTCAGAGTCCTCTCTCGACTCCGATGGTGGTATTTTAGTTTGCAAGCTTAAAAATCATCTGAATAATGGATGGCTCTAAAGCCCTCTACTTGCCAATAATTTTACGCGTCTTTAGGGTCCATTTTACGCGTCTTTAGGGTCCATTTTCCACCAAAGGAAATAGGTCACTAAGACATTTGATCAAACAAAGCCAGGCTGATGCTCACTACAGCTCGGGCATTTGGAGTTTAATCTTGAAACTATCATGTCCTCTAATTCTAGCTCGATGCCATCGATAGATGGCCGTCACTTCTCAATTATAGAGAGGAAACATCCACCATGCATCGGCTGCAAGTTGCTTCTCAACAATGTGTGAGCTGCGTATACTTAAAAGCGGAGCAGCCCTTCATTCACAGCCTTCCATCGAAGCAATGCAGCGTTTCAACGTCGTTTAAAGTCTAAGGCTAGGGCTGTCTATAACTAGAGGTCATGATGAGGCTTAATTTTAAAAAATTACATCACTTTGAAGGGATTCACCAAGAATACGCTCGATATGCAGTAAGATTCAATTGGTTCCTTCGAAATAAAATGTAGCAGGGGCATGGACGAGCAACCGAGCTAGAATTGGGATTCGAGCTATAAAAACACTTTATTTATGTGCCCCAGACATCAAAATGTTGCGGCGTGGGTCAGAAAAGGAGCGATAGTCATCATTGCAATGGCATAAGAAAGACTAATCGTATCCATCATCATTCCAAAAATGAAATCCCGTGCAATTGAAATTAACCCCAGCCTGTGCAATTAAATTAAAGTGCAATTCGTTTATGTTTTAAATTAAAATTAGGGTTAAACCTGTGGATCCTCAAAGGAGCAGCATGAAGAGTCTGCTAAAATGATTAAAAAAGCTTTTTTGATACCTGCATTTTCATCATCTTCTTCTTCGTCGTCATATTCGTCATTGCCAGTATGTCGACCACCATTGACACCATCAGAATCACTATTTTCTAGCATTTGATTATCATTAGATCCAGCATTCAATTCGGTCCTCCTGAGGTCGCGGAGGTAGATATCTTTTCCAGAACAGAAGCCCTCCTGCACCTGAAATAGAGTGAGAGCCAGGCGAGGGCCCGTCTCCACAAGATGCAGCTTTCTTGTAGCCTTTTTCTTTTTTGAAAGCTTCAATTCGGCAGAAACGCCCTGGTCGGTGGGATCCTTTTTTGCGGCTGCAATATTCCTTGAAATTAGAGTGATGGCTTACTCAAGAACAAAATCGGCCAAATCTTTGCCGGCTTCAATGATTTCTGAAATGTTTTTTTCTGCTTTTGACAGGATTTCTCGTATCGATGATTCTGGATCCCTCACCATGATTTTATATTGGCGGATCTGGATTTGATCCTGCTTTGGATGATAACTAAACAAAAGCACGCGCTTCGCTTGCGATAATTGCGCCTAACCCTGTCAAAAATGGAGCGACTTACATGTGAAGAGAAATTTGATGGGGGGAACAAATTTTTGAGGAAGGTTTCACAGAGCACCAAATGGCTTTCGGGGTTCTCTCTTTCAAAGCCATCGAAAATAACAAGCGGGGAGAGCGAAACTGCATTTCCAAGAGACACCGGATGTGGCATGCTGTTGAAAACATCCTTCATCAAAGAATACGAGTCGATGTTAAAATAAAGGGTCGGCCCTTGTGAAAAGCGTGCCATTCTAAGCACCGAGTTGAAAAGGGTCTGCGAAAAAAAGAGGCAATTTGTAACGTTCAGTTGGCTACACACGGCCATATAGTCCTTGATTTTGGTTGTTTTTTTCTCGACCAGATTGATGGCGGTTCGGGGACTCATCATTGTGCGAAAGTTGAGCACCAACTCTGCGAGCAGCGGGCTTTGAACAGAGCCAAGTTTTACAACAAACGAGGAAGGGCCTTCGCTGTTGTTTTTTGTGTGCTCTTGCGACTGTACAGCTGAAGCCTGACGCTGTCTCTTGTTTTTTTTCCTCTAAAAATAAAAATCAAAAAGACACAACATTTCGGGCCATAGGTACAGTACAAAGGAATTAAAAATAAAAATAAAATAAAATTATTTATTTAATCATTCGTCGGCATCGATGGGGCCGGCGGCCTTTGGCTTTGGACCCCCCGCGGGCTTGCTCATCACAATGGAGTCTATACGCAGAATTGAAAGCGCAGCATCGACCGCAAGATGCAATGCAGATGCCTTTGTTGCATAAAGATCCATGATCTGGGCATCAAGCACATCTAGGGTGCCATTTTGCTGTCCAAGCGATTCCACATCTACACCGATGGATCGCTGACCTGCCTCATGGGCAGCGGAAAGCTGCGCGAGAATCTGCAAATGGTCAAGCCCGCTATTTTCGCAAAGGATTTTGGGGATCGCCTCCAGGGCCTGGCCAAACTTTTTGATGCCATATTGAGTGAGACCTGGAATGGCTACTGCCATGTTTTGCAAATATATGGAGAGAGCCATCTCGGTTGCCCCTGCACCAGGTAGCAACCGGCCATCCTTGGTAAGCGATTTTACAACATTTACACCATCATCAATGGCTCGTTCCACGTCATCCAAGAAATTCAGTGTGGACCCTCTTAGAACTATCGAAGCGATCCTGGAGGTGGAATCTAAAAGCTTAGTAAAAGAGGATTCCATACCGCTCTTGAAAATTGTGCATAAATCGGAGCCAATTTCAATCGTTTCAACCAGGTCGCAATATCCCATCTCCTCGGCCATAGGGGCACCCTATTGATTACAAACGATCTCTATACAAGTCTGGCAAGGGCGGTAGCCCCAGTGGCGCGACATAGTCTTTGAAGGTCAAACTTTGAGGCAATTCTGAAGGCAATAAGTCCATATTGATTGATAAAGTGAAGTGTGATGTCGCCAATTGTTCCGCCAGTAACGATCACTTTTACTCCGCTGTCCGAAATTTCTTTGACTTGGGCCTCGACAAGCTTTTCTTCTCCAGAGCTGAAGGAGATCAGCTCGGAGGCATTGCGAAGAAGAACAGTGCCTTTTGTCTCTGTCCTCCCAATGTCAAGCGGACACGAAAATATGGCTACTTTGGCATTTGTGGCTCGTTTAAGGCGACCTAGTGATAAATAAAATTTCCCACAAATTGATACTTTCTGGCTCTCTGTTGAAAACCATGCCATGGACCAGTGTAGAATCTGCAATGGAGCCTCCCATCACTTTAACAACCCTAATCGAGTCTACATTGAAGCTTTTCGGATTCTTCGACGGCATAATGGTAACGCATGCGTCAGCAATGAGTCCGGAGAGCAAATCCTCATATCCATACTAGGATGATAAGATTTAAGGCCACCCACCTGCTTGCTAGAAACGGAAGATTTAATTGCAAAAATTAAATCCTGCTTTGTGAAGGTCGAAATAGTTTGAATGACAAGTTCTGCAATGTAAAGTTTTTGTGTGAGATGATTACCTTTCATGTGCAAAGAAGCCAATTCAAATGCCCTCTCATATCCATCGATAATGTCGCTTGGATGAATTCCAATTGAAATCAGCTCTTCGGCCTTTTTTAGCAATTCACCAGCAAAGACAAGAACAAAATTGGTTTGGTCGCCATTCTAGTCGTCAGGATGAACCCTACCTCTTGTTCTTGCTGTTGCGACGCCATGACCAACAGCTTGGCTGCTGGATGCACAACATCAAGCTCTCTGATAATTGTCGCTGCATCATTGGTAACGAAAAGCTTTTCCAGCTGATTGACGATAAGTTTGTTCATTCCTGCACGATGAAGCGGATGAACATACCGTGCGGCCCAAACGAGGTCCTAGTAATTCTGCACAAATCTTGGCACGCCGAAATGTTACGCAAAATGGCATCCTCAACATGCTATAGGAATGTGGTTGAGCGCACAACGACATACCTTATATCCTTCCTTGAGGAGTGTCGTGAATGAATTGGACTTTCCAACTTGCAACGCCATTTAAAAATATCGTGAATTTACGCTTTATGCAAATACTGGCATTTTAAATTTTAGTTTACAATTTAATTATAGACGGTTTTCAGGTAAAAGTCAATATCTTCAATGGCATTTTCCAATGCCAATGCCTCATCACAATCCTCGCCACCATTTAAGATGACATCCCGCAGCGAACTTTCCAGCAATAGACGCTGCTCGATAAGCACGTCCTTTTTCAGTGGATCCAGCAGCAGCTTCTCGTCTTCTTGGTTGATAATTAATTTGACCCCTTGTTTGAGGGCCGAATTTTTTGTTTCCTCCTGTTCTTTTCTTTTATTGTCCTGATAGCTTTCTTCTTTGATTTTTGCATCTTTTACTTGATCTGGATAGGGGAGGGTGGAAATACTCTTGCAATACATTTGCTGTTCTTGTTGGATATTTCGAATAATAATCAGTAGTTGAAGGTGTAACGACCCTATCTCTGTGCTGCCCATTTTCTCCATCATCTGCTGGATCTGCTCAATACCATCCATCATCTCTTTTCGGATCAGAATGCAATTGGTCATCTCTTCTTGGCCACTTGTGGCACTATTCATGATGTTTGACGCTATTTTTTACCTGATGTTTTGCAAGTGAGCAATGTAATTTTTCTTGATATCTTCAATATCTTGCCTAATCTTCCTGCTGCTCTCGTATAGAGATATCAATGGGAGAAGTAGATCCCGATCAAAAAGATATTGAACGATAAACATGTTGCAAGTGCTGCATGTTCGAATTGGATAAGAGATCGGCTTTTTTTTCAAAAATAACGAACAATTGTTGCAAATGGACTTGCCGCACACTTTACAGTGGTATCTTTTTAAAAAGTCGACAAGCGAATAAAAAGGCCTCAAGCAGCCCTTACATGATGCATCTTTTTCTTCGATATTTCGCGGCTCAAGAAGCAACATGTTTGCCTTTTTCAAATCTCTCACATCCATTTCCTTCAAATTCGCCTCTGAAAAGCAATGCAAAATCTAATTTTAAACATGGAACGCCCACATCTTCGTAGCTTTGAATTATCTCCTCAATTGGGTCAGATAAGGCAATGTGTGTCTCGTCTTGAAAATGGCGTTGTGATTTGTATTTTTCCCTGAGCCGGGAAAAGTCTTCCATCTTTGAAACCATAACTCCGGGCATAAAAAACGTGCTAACCGAACCTTATTTCAGTTTTCAAAGCTTACCTTTGTTGAAATTGAAAACACGATTTACACACATCTTTAAACGTACCAATGAAAGGGTCGTATTGCTCAGAGAGATCAAGACGAAGTTCCCATTCGCCCCAGTGCTTGCCGCAGAAAATATGTGCACATCTATTGATTAAAACGGGCCAAAAATGGCTTACTTTGGACAACTGTACTTGCCCGAGATGAAGGAAAAAGCTACCGTGCATGTGGGGAAGTTGCATAAAAATGGAGAATATAAAAATTTGCCACTCATCGTTCAGAGGATCGGTTGATGGTTTTCAGCAGAATCAATAAATTGCAAAAATTGGTCGCCAGGGCCACTAAACATAAAGATTCCAAAATTGTAAAAACGATCAAATGTAATGCCATTTTAACGCCTCCCTCCCCCCTTTTATAAATAAAGCCAATTGTTGCCTCTGAATGCAGCAGGTGTAACATAGATTTACACTATTTTGGAAAGCAGGCACAGACATTTCATGTATATATGAATAGCTACCAGCTAAAGTTTGCACCTAACCCTAAATATCACATGCGCAGGTAAATTGTGAATCGTGACTGTCCACTTTAAAAGGAACTCACACTTTTATCAAATTGCACATATTTTTTAAATGACAAAAAGATCAGTTCTCACGAATAGCAGTCACGATGCTCACAAAAGTGAGCATGCAATTTCTTCCCAATGCCCATCTCCACTTTCACTGATTAAAGATTCGAAATCGTCTAAACTAAAAGTTGTGTGCGGTAGCTAACTTTCTGTTATTTCTAGTTATGGTTGGGCTTCCCGCCAGGGGAAAGACATTTATGGCAAGAAAGTTATGCCGCTATCTTTCATGGCTCGGCTATTCGGCAGCAACATTCAATGTTGGTAACTATAGAAGGGGGCAAGCCGGCCCGAGCGTACACCATTCCTTTTTCGATCCGGAGAATGAGGAAGGGGTAGTTTCGCGAAAAAAAGCGGCAGAAGCGGCCCTCAATTCACTTGCTGCCTGGTTGAACGAAGAAGACTCGATCGGCCAATGTATGCAGAGCCTTTCCTAATGATAGCGTTTTATTCGAACGAAAATGACCTATCCTTTGTGCTGGCCGAGTCTATTGGCAAAGTGGCCATTTACGATGCCACCAATTCTACTCGCGATAGGCGACTTTGGATTGTAGATCAAGTTTTGAAGCTTAAAGCTGCCTCTTCTTCTTCACAAATCCTTTTCATAGAAAGTGTTTGCAATGACCTTGGCATTGTTAACTCCAACATCATACAAGTCAAGCTCTCTTCGCCAGACTATAAGGACTCGGCAGATCCTGAACAGGCGAAAATCGACTTTATTAGGCGAATAAAGCACTATGAAAATGCCTATGAGCCGCTCTCGGAGGAAGAATGGTCTTGCACTGGTAAGTTGTCCTTACCCAACCCAAGGAATCGATCCGCTACCTCCAATGATCAAGATCATTGATGTGGGTAAAGAAATTAAGCTCTCCAATTGCAAGTGGTATTGGCAGACAAGGGTCGCCTCTTACTTGATGAATCTCCACATAACGCCGAGGTGTATTTATATTTTTCGTGTACCTTTGATCAAATTTCATTCATCCTAGCATGGAGAATCCGAATTCAATCTACAGGGCCGAATCGGGGGCGATTCATCGCTCTCTGAAAACGGGATTCTATTTGCAAAAGCGCTTCCAGAATGGTTGCGAAACCACTTTGGCGTCAAAAACAACCTTACGGTACTTGCGGTCCTTTATATTTCCCAACCTTTTGGCATCATTTTCGTGATAAAAATTCTTGTTTTATTTATTCGATTTTGATGAAATAGGTTTGGACGTCCACTCTCAAGCGATGCATAGAGACCGCAGTGAACCTTAACTATCCAAAGCTTGCATGGAAAGCGTTGGACGAGCTCAATACAGGCATCTGTGATGGGATGCGCTATGAAGAAATAGAAACCATGTTCAGCAATGAATATTCCGCCAGAAATAAGAACAAGTTCTATTATCGATACCCGAACGGGGAATCCTATGCAGATCTTGTATTAAGGCTTGAACCAATCATAATTGAGCTTGAGAGGCAGAAGGATATTTTGGTGATCGGACATCAAGCCGTACTTCGAGCAATTGTTGCGTATTTTACGGGCGTCACACAAGAGCAATTGCCCTATGTAGTGATCCCATTGCATACGGTCTTAGAGCTGCGACCGATGACATACAACTGTGAGGTCATCGAGCATCATATTGGAATCCCCGCTGTAGATACGCACATAGACCGCATCAAACTACCTCTGAGGTAAATCCGTTGAAAGCTTTTTAAATTGAAGCATTTTACGATTAAATTTGAATTGAAAACTTGATGCTTTCCCAATGGCTTTTAAAATTACAATCCCAAAAATTACAATCCCAAAAGTTGGAGTCCTAAAAGTTGGAATTTAATTTCTTTTACCCTTAATAATGCACCCAGACATTGTCAAGTTCAAGTCCATCCACATTCGAAATGTCGTCATATTGGCCCACGTGGACCATGGTATAATGACACGGTTTTACTTTTTTAGGAAAAACGACGCTTACAGATAGTCTTCTCGCGCATCAGGGTCTTATTTCCCAATTCCAAGCCGGCCAGCTTCGCTACCTTGATTCGCTCCCGGAGGAACAAAGAAGGGGAATTACAATGAAATCAGCATGTGTGGCTTTAAAATATGCCCCAATAGCGGCCAGACTTTACCCGGTCGACAAGTTAACATATTTGAGAAGCTCTCTTGGGTCTGATCATCTCGCGTTGGATGCACTCTCCATTTCCGGCCCTGATTTAGGTTCTTCCAAAAGCCCTGGGAGCTATAATAATCTGAATAGGGACTCAAATGTCCCTGTCTCTTTGGTGTCCTCATCAAAGCATGATTCCGAGCACATACTTGTGCATCTGATAGATACGCCTGGCCATGTTGATTTTTACGGTCAAGTATATTGCTCAGCACAGCTTGCAGATGGGACTATCATCGCCGTAGATGTGTCCGAAGGAATTTGCGCCCAAACAATGGCGGCTTTTCATCTGGCATGGGACCTGCGATTGGTGCCTGTCTTGTTTTTGAACAAAATTGACCGACTTATTGTGGAGCTGCATCTTTCGCCTATGGAAATATTTAATCGTTTGCTACAGCTTCTAGAATCTGTCAATGCAACATGTAGCATTTTTCGCCATCAAACCCCATCATGCCCCCTTGATGTAGAAGAGGGCGATCCTTTCTATTTTGAGCCAAGAAAAGGAAATGTCCTTTTTGGATCGGCGTTGGACGGTTGGGCGTTTCGTTTGAATCTGTTTGCAAACTTGTTTTCTAAGAAAATTCCAACGCTTCCCAAACGCGAGCTAAATCAGAAGCTTTGGTCGGCGTCTTTTTTCTTGTCGAAAAGGCGCGAAATTCTTCCTGTTGAAAAGGGCGAAACTCCCCTTTTTGTTTCTCTTATTATGGAAAACATTTGCTCCGTTTATAAGGCCCTCCTTTTTGACGATGGTACAGAACAAATTCAAAAGATCTGTCAATCATTTTCGCTATCATTTACCCCGGCGTCCGTCAAGGATAGAAAAATGCTACTCCGAACAATATTCACGAGCTGGATTCCATTGGCTCCCTGTGTTTTTGATGCGATTGCTGACTCCATTCCTTCAGCTCATTCTCGAAGGGTGGGAATTTTTGGTGATCATTGCGAAAAGGGAGCTGGAACGACACTAGCATTCCTGGCAAAACCGATCATATACCCTGAACTGACTGAAGAACTCTTGAGGAGCAGTATCTGTGAATGGACACGTCCCACCATTCAAAACGGCTTAGAAAATGAGCACGAGTCTTCACTGACTGCCCATTCTTCTTGCCCTTTAGAAAAACTGGTGATGATGGGGCGACTATATTCTGGAGCCCTTTCTACCGCCTCTATTGGTGACATTTACTTTTCGTCATCAAATGCTATTGGGTTTGACGGGACCAAGTTTGACCGCCACACATTCAAGCTGGAGAAAGGCCGCTTCCGTCTCTACCAACTTATGGGGTCGAAGCTCATTGAGGTTGATTGTGTTCCCGAGGGAAACATCTTTGGTATCTCTGGAGTGTTAAGCGCAACAAAGGGCATCTTTGTCAAAAGTGGTACGCTTACATCTTTGCCCGTTGATGAAAAAATTCCGATCCATAGTTATTCCTGTCCTAGCAAAATGCCACTTTATCACAACGATGCTTCAAATTCTCTGCATGGCACACCTGATGATCATCAAACATCTTCGGCAATGATGGGTGTACCATTGATCAGTGTTTCTGTAGAGCCTACAACATCCCTACGTGATCTTACACAGCTGCAGTTTGCACTGCTGCTACTTTATCAAACCGATCCATCGATCAATGTCTCATTTACGGACATGGGTGAGTTGATCCTCAAAACTTGTGGAATGCTGCATTTAGAGCAATCTCTTAAAGAGCTCAAGTCGCTAGTAAGCTTTCCGATTTCAGTATCTGATCCCATCGTTCCGCTAGGTGAAACCATTGGCGATGCACAGACAACAAAACAGGTTCACCACATGCAAGAAAACTTTTCTGTTCTCGCATGTCTAAATCCCTCGTTTTTCAGGGACTTTTCCGATGTCTCTGCAAAACCGGATGCTTTGATTGAGACAACATGTGGCACGTACACACAAAATCGAATTTTTGATCCAAATTCTGGTGCTGAACCGGATCGTTGTAAATTGGTTGGTTGTGAGATGAACGACGCCATTTGCTCGTGTGTGCCCCTGAAAATGGAGGCAAGCATTGGCGATCAATTTTGCACATTGACGCTCAATGTCACTGTTGTCAAAAACAACACCTGCACACCAACACTTACGATTGACCCCAGTTGCGCAACGTATGAAGAGATTATTAAAAGGGCCTTTTCAATTGCCATCTCAAATGGCCCTTTATGCGGAGAGCGAGTTTATGGTGTTGGATTTTCCATTCTCCACCTTTGTCTCGATGGTCAGCATCTTTCCGATTTCGATAAAACATTGCTGTTTTCGCCGATACGCAAGATGCTTCATCTTGCCATTCTTCTTGCAGACCCAAAGCTGATGCAGGGATATAATGAAATTTCTATCCTGGTTCCAGGTTCGTCCCATTTCGATGTCCATGCCCTACTTTCTCCATTAAGATATTTGTCTTCTATATTGGGCACAATGTTTCACCATATTTTGTGTTTCCATATTTTGTTTCCCCATATTTTCGCTCCCTTTTGGTGCTAATTTTTATTTGTTGTAGGAGAATGGCTGGGTAAAGTATATGCGCTGATCAGCAAATCGGAGGGCGATATCATTGTGGGATCCGAATTTATCGCTGAGCGCAATTCATTTCACATACTCACGCACGTTCCGGTGCGGTTTTCAGCCGCTTTTGTTGATGGTACTGGAAGACCTATACCCAACCCTAACCCTATAGAATTGAGGTCAAAAACAGCCGGTGCCGCCTTTGTCAACATTTCGTATTTTGGGCTCAAAGCCATGAAGGGTTCTTTGCTTGTCTGCACAGATTTGATCGAAAATGACACTGCTGTCATGGACCATTCCTCCATACAACGAGAACTTGCCCAAAAAACCCGAATTAGAAAAGGACTGTTTGTTTCAACAAAGCTCACGCTTGATGGTGAAAAACAGCGAACGCTTAGGAGATGCTAACGCGATTGACATTGCATTCAAACGATTTGCAATGGTCCTTATATAAAAACGGCGTTTATATCGGCATTTATGCACCTCAGGCTCTTCGTATGGTGCCCTGAATGATGACCACACATGCCTTGAGCGTTACCTTCATCGATGTACGCCCTTAATTTCTTTAAATGCTCCGCAGCAAGCTCAATTTGGCCGCCATGCCATATGGTAATCTATTAAAGCAGTTTGATGTTCTTTCTAGCTATGAAGAAAGACTCATGGGAAAGCAAATGGTATCTGCCGATGAATCCAGGTTCCCAACTGATACGGAAGATTCCTCTGTTTTGGATGTGGAAAACATGTCCCTTTGAGAACGATCCATGTCTGTTGCCTTATCAATGGAGGAAGCGGAAAGCTTGGCTGCAAAGCTCTCAGACATGCTCAACGCCGTTTGCAGAGTCTCCTCCACTGCTGTCGAATCACGGGTACAAATATCCACACCTTCAATCCACGATTTGTATTCATTTTTGAGACGTTTGAATTCGATCTAGCATGCGGTTATGATCCAAAATATGTACCAGCGATTGAACCATCGAGTATGACGGCGGGGCGTCCGAAATCTTGCAAGATACTTTGGGGTAAGAAAGAGCAAATGGCGGGTAGTCTCCTTGTGAAGGATCCACTTGCACGCTATCACGCACATGCACAGAAAATGGCGTCTGCTTTTTGGAAATTATTTCATTTTCAAGCAGCGAGGGAACCTTCACACAAGAGGCAAATCCTGGGAACGTGGAATCGTCACCATCCTCTGCAGCGGGTGCAAGCGTGGCAAAGTCATTTCCTTTTTTGAGCACACATGTTGACCGACATTCAGAGCGTGGTTTGCCCCCAAATAAGGGCAGCTCTTTTTTTTCAGCTTCCACGTTTGGAAACTCGTCAGGACATGCTAAAAACTTCTAACATTAAAGGTGATCGCCATACAAGTCTTTCCGAAATATTTTCGGGCTTGAAAAAATGTTCATCCAGATCGGACCATTGCGACGTGTTGTACGCATGTATAATGGTGGCCGACTCTAGGGATAAGGTCGCGTCGTTTTTTTGATGGACATCTAGTTTCGAGCAAGATCGTCTCAAAGCAGCCCCTGGCGCAAAAGCACACGAGGACTCGTCCACAGGAGCCAGATATGAAACGCTTATATGAAACAATCTACATTGATGGTGTGAATTATGCAATACCCGTGAAGCGATCTTAGTGGATCCAGTGAGTGCCTTTTGACCGTGTCAACAAAATCATCCTTGTCAGAGCAGGGCTTTACTAGAGACATCAAACATGGGAAACAACAAACCTAGCGGCTTTAAAGTATACTTTTCGCCATTTTCGTGTGAAAGACCTATAATGGATAAGAAAACAGCGCACGGTATTAATTTTAGATGAGCGAAAACTAGCGAAAAGTACGTACCTGACACATGCAGCCTGAAGGCAGGCTTGAAAAATTCCTCGCAATCCACCATATCCGTCTTTAAGAAAAGGCTAGAAAGGGGAAGCAACCCACAGATTGACATTATCGATCTTATAAGCAAAGTGGCCTTTTTATAGATTGACGGTAGAGACTCCAGTTGCTCTTTGGAAGGCGAAATTGGGGCAAAATAAATTTCCCACTGTTCGAAGGGGATAAATTTTTCTGGCAAAATGTCCATGTAGAGTGCGCTTTTTCGGTCGGTCGTCATAAATTTTAGATTTGGCGACAATTCCCGCTGCCCATCTATGGCAGCAAGCATGGACTTTGTTGCATACGATGTGTCCGATTTCAATTCAATAAAGTAGCTTCCAAGCTCTTGCGACAGGGCTTCCAAAAAATGCTCCTCCGATAGTTCTTCTGCTCGCTTGCTAAAAATGGACGATGAGTTGATGTGGCAGTCTCCATTTTGGCCTAGTTTTCCTTCAGACGTTTTTCGCACAAGAGATTCTAAAGCCAGCTCCTCCATACAGGTGTAGTTAATTTCGAATCCAAAATATAAGCTAATTACCGGGGATGATTCGCTCGATAAATGCGGGGCGAAACAATGTCCAGCCGTCATCTCATTGAAGGGATTCAAAAGCTCGCTTCGGAAATCTTCATTTTCCGTGAGATCCAACTGGAACTAGGGCTATTAGCAAACCAGAACCAACCCATTTGTTGATATTTGTCATCAAATTATCAAATTCTTCCGAAATCGATCCGGATGTGTTTGAGAGCTTTAAAGATCTCCTTAATTCCCAAAGGATAGCCAATAAACGCGTAACTAATTTCTTGTGCAGTGCCTCGCAGGACGGGCTGCAGACTAAACGATACAGGATAAATGTGGACGAAAATACTTTGTAGAGCTGGTCTTTTTACAGCAGCTAGTCTTGGTGATATGCCCGCCGTAGATGCTGACGATGGCGATGACGCGGACGAGGAAAGTGAAGAGGATGGTGATGGTGAAGCGCTAGAAAATGTACAAAGCTCGCCCCGAGTTCCGATGAGGGAGTTTCGTGGGCCAGAGAAATACTTTTTAGATTCCTCTATAAATGGCCTGTCCTCATCCTTTGGGGAAGACGAGCCTGACCGCGCAGGTGGGCACATTCTCGATGCTTTCCCGTTAATTGGGATATTGGAGGACATTTCTTGCAAATAAGAAAATATTGTTACATGGTTGTGCTAAAGTTTATTCAAATTACTCCAAGTTGATAGATGTATGGAGCATGTATCGCTTTAATTGCTGTGCTGTGTGATCGTAGCAAGTGCTCAAAATATCAATCAATTTTCAGCAGGTAGCAACAAAGTTTCTTTAATTCCAAATTGCTATAAATTATTAAATTGGACTGAAGCGCGTTACACATGGCCGCGCGCCCTGCATTAGGGTTAGGGAAATGGAGGGGAAACCCTGTGCGTTGCAATGCATACGCCACATGCCATCTTGTACTAGGGCCTTGTTGAAGAACGTTCGTTTCCCTTTATGAAGGAACAAGCCCATTTTAATGCTTTTATTACCTGGGGTTAG